TTGGTATATTTTTGGGCCCTTAACCCCCTTAACAGTATAGAACGGCCTCAAATGCATTGCTTCATCTATATTTCAATCAAAAAGGGTTAATTCGGCATGTTGGCCAAGGTTGCTGCAACTACAACATGGCTTTTCATAAACTAGGGATTCAGACGGTTAAAATGAGACCATTCCCAGCTTGTTATACCTCCGGTAGGGGTGCACTTAATTTTTGGGGTCTCGGCCGCTGCACTATAAAGCTCATGCGGAGGCAAGACATAGCCAATTATATATATATATATATATTTGTTTATTTAATTATTCATTTACGTCTACGAATATGTTATTTGTCTATTGTTGGCTATGTCGCATATTGCACAGTATTGCGAAAAAATAGCAGGATTATATATAAATAATCACATCGCGCATGTAGTGAGAAAATGGCAACTTCATAGAGCAGATGTGGCGCTACATTTATAGACATGTGGACTTCGCGAGTGTCAAGCCAGAGTATGGACAACACCAGCCCCGCACGTCGTTGACTCCTTCAACCTGGTCAGAGCACGCAGCCAATGAGGCAGACCATCTAGTGAGCTGAGTCTGAGATTTAATTGATAGTACCTTGTAGTATTTTTAAAACGAGCATGCACGCACGCACGGGCGCACGCACGCACGCGCGCACGCACACCGACCGGTACCAATCATACAGAGAAGCATCCTACATATTCGTTCCAAACTAATGACCTAACAGCGGACCTACATAAAGTCGTGTTTCTTCGGACATACCTACGTCAGCTCGACAATGATGAGGTTTTGTCAGGTTGTGTAACTTGTACTTTATCGGGTCATTTTTACAGGATACCTTACTAAGTCGTTTACGCACCGTGTACGCGAAGGACACCTCAAAACTAATGATATCTGCCGCGGGAGGGCAGCACGGACACGGACGTCAGGTAAGCTTGCAAAAAATACGAACGACGTGCCAGTCACTAGCAAAGATCCTATAGGGCCTCCGGCACTATAGGATCTTTGGTCACTAGTGAACCTGGACAGTCTATTGGGCACAAGTGACTGCGTGCATACTTGCACGAATTCTAGGTTTTTTTTATAACAATTTAGAACAGAAAACGCCTACGCGCGCACTAATTTACCCATCTGGCCGAGCAAGACAGCAAGACAAAGCAAAGCACTGCATTGTCAAGCAGGACAACTTCATACGTGTTTTCACGAGCACAACAAGATGTAATAGTTTGCGGCACTTCGTCGCCAAGCATTGTCTTTTAGAAAATCCTATATCGGTCAGCTAAAGGTTGTGGCTATAGGTTTTGCGCGCTCTGAGCCTCTACTAGAATGCTTGTCATGTCGTGCGTTTCTGCGAGAATGTCTACATGCCGATTCGTGTGCCGTAGGTCTGCGTAAGAACGCATCATGCGAGTTTGAGAGCAAAGGTGCTGGGAGCCCACAGAGAGGAGTCTCGACAGCAGAGGCTGAAGAGGGCGGCGAGTAGGGTAAATTACGACACAGTGACACCTGTGAACCTACTACCGCTTCTATCGTATCTGAAATATGAAATGTTGGACACGCGGAAACCAATTACAAAGTTCGTAAAGTGGGCCGTTAGGGGGCCGTGGGGTGTTAAAATTTCAAATATTCAACCAAGTTTAAATGATTCTCTAGTTAGGCACAGACTGCATGCTTACAGCAAGGCCGTTCATGCGCGCATAACTGGATACGCCATTTTTCTATCACTCTCAGGCCCATTACATCAAACAGAAAGCGTTAGGTGGCGTCGTAGTGTGGAACATGGCAAAGCAGGCTGACGCCTGCGGCGCAGAGGGAGACGGGCCGCTGCTGAAAACAGTCAGCGCCGTGATGCGTTGCCATGCCGACGTGACGTGCGAGAGAGACGGCAAGGTAGAGGACCCAAACGACTGCAGGCGCTTCTACATGTGTTCGAACACCGGCAGCGAGAACGAGGCAATAACCCTGTTCGTGTGTCCACGGGGCATGATCTACAGTTCTGCCAGAAAGTCGTGTGTGCACAGGGCGCGAGCACTGAATATACGGCGCCTGTGTATGTGTGGAGAGCTAGCCGAATGACGGCAGCAACGTTATTTAACATGTAATATTAGCGTTATTATTATTATTAGTAGTAGTATATAGTGATATAGTGAGATTATTTAAACACTTATTCACTTTTTCCATGTTGGCAATGGAGTTGCAGCTATTGGAAAGTACAATTTACAATTTTAATATATATTTTAAGACATTATTTTACTATGAACATCATGTGATTTTTGTGTAAATTTTTAAAGTTTTAATAAAGTAATTATTAAGAGTAATTCTGGTATTTGTATGCTATATATTGGGTTGAAGTAGTGAGACGACACGACACGAGGATGTTGCTACACTGGGGATTATTACTTTGCCCACCCATCGATCCACCCACATGTCCACCACACACTACAAAATAAACAAACTGCTCATTTGATTGTAAAAACGTTGCTGTAATTGGTCCAATAATCACACGGAACAAACTCTGCAATAGTGCCCATAAACCCATGAATAAAATCCAGAAGTGATTACATTCACTAACTAGAGCACTCGGAGAGCACAGACCTCCGCCAAGGCAGCTGAATTCTCTCAATGTGAAATTAATTAATTAAATAATTATTCGGATTCGGATTCGGATTAGTGCGAGCATGCAGGTGGGGGAGGACTGTGGTTGCCCCTTAGCCTGTGGTTGCGTGTTTGTAAGTCTACAGCCAGCGCACCTAGCGGAAGTGAACTGAAACGTGCATGTTAACAAACCCACAAACACACAAACCAACACTCAAACACACGCCGGTGAAAACATAACCCCCACCAAGCCCCTGGCGGAGGTAACAACAACAAACGTAAATGGATCACAAAATTATAAAATTCATCACTGCACAAGCTGAAAAGTAGCCCAAATATTCACCCTTTGTGCACTAATACAATTTGTAATTATCACACGACAGCTATGCCCAATTTAGGGTGCTTTTATGTTAATTTATTTATTTTTAATCAATTTATTTTATGTTAATGTATCCTATGGGAATTATTACTTTGCCCACCCATCAATCCACCCACATGTCCACCACACACTACAAAATAAACAAACTGCTCATTTGATTGTAAAAACGTTGCTGTAATCGGTCCAATAATCACACAGCTCTGAACATCCTGAACAAACTCTGCAATAGTGCCCATAAACCCATGAATAAAATCCAGAAGTGATTACATTCACTAACAACAACAAACGTAAATGGATCACAAAATTATAAAATTCATCACTGCACAAGCTGAAAACTAGCCCAAATATTCACCCTTTGTGCACTGATACAATTTGCAATTAAAGAAAATGTTCCTATAATTATAAGCATTAAGTCCAATTATGACACGACAGCTATGCCCACGAACACACAAATCGGTTTCATTTTGCATGTGCACATATTTTGTTCTTTCGGTTCAGCTTGAATCAAAGGCACAAGAAGCATCAATGTTATACATTACAGTATCACATTGCAACAAGAAAATTTTATACAATCGTGCTTAAAATGTGCATCACCCCAATTAGAAAGTATCCTCCCTGGTCACAGACCGTAGGTCCAATGTTGTAAGCACAGTGTAGCAAACACATGATTGATTACATCACAGATGTCCACATGCTGCCTAAAGACTTGGTATCTGCGACGACAAAAACAGAATTGTAAAAATGAATCAATTATGATACATTTTGGAAAATGCATAAAAAATTATGATAAATTAATACATTATCATTTTAATATCGATGCATCAGTATAAAAGGTACTGCACAGTATTCGGTTGTGCATGCGATAAATTATGCCTCGTTCCTGATTTTCAAATACACTATTTAATTCTTTGCAAAACAAAAGAAGTAAGCTCCAGGGGCAACAAGAGGTTACGAGATTAAAGAAGGACAAGATGAGACTGGAAGGTGGTGATAAACAAAAGGAATGGAGTCTCCTAACACATACAACACAGAAAATCAAGGCCCAAGAACCCCCCCCCCCCCGTACTCCGCGGGCCTCGGGACAGCGCCCCCTGCAAGACAGTACTTACGGCGGCAACAAGCGCGTGTTCGACGTCCTCGATGAGATCTTCGATGTCCTCGATGCCGATGGAGAGGCGGATGAGTGTGTCGGAGATTCCCAGCTTCACTCTATCCTCCTCCGGCACTGACGCGTGCGTCATCAGACCACTGCAAGTTGCCACGACAACAGACACCGTCAACATGGAACGCGGTTCGTTGGGTGTCACGTGTTCATGTGGCATTAAGAGTAATTTTATTTCAGGATAACTCGATCATCGACTCCAAGAATGTAAGATCCCGGGCATGTTGGTTGATATGCTTAGATTTACCATGACATATAAAATACTCCTAACATTGTCAACTTGGAAGCATTTTGATGCCACAAGATTACCTGGGTTTTGTGAACATTGTAAGATCAGAGAATCTTCAACTGTTAATCTGTATGCAGTTTAAATAAAATTATACTTTATTATGATTATAATTATAATTAGAATAATAAAATTATAAATTTGTGTTAGGAGTAATTATATTTAATGATAAATCCAAGCATATTGACTCTGCCTGACCAGCTGCTGCCAGCACTCAACATGGAAATCGTACTCACGGATGCTCTGCCAAGCTTTCATAGCCTCCCAGGCTCTCTGCCAACGTGATCAGCTGCAAAGACGAGAGAGAAATGATTATGACTGTCTCTGTCTGTTCCCTGCCCGTTGGCACATCGTAGATACTGGTCATTGTCAAGAGATTTTTGAACACCTCAGTTATATTCAGTTAAATTTATCTGAAGAATTATCTACCAATATTTGATAAGATGCCAAACAGAGGGGCTTCACGTCTTATTGCTAGTACCTTTCACTGTATAAGAACTGTATAATATATTCATGTTCACTGTATATAAACATGAACATACATATACATGCTGCATAATTTTTTTTTTAGTATGTTCATGATATAATGCATGCATTAGGAGGCAGATGCATTCGTTTACAATCTGATTTTTTTATTTCATGGTAAAGTGAATGATGGCAAATGAATACCACAATTGAATGAGCAGCAAGTAAGGACAACAAAAACTCAGGCACGTGTCTCAGGGTTGAGAGACTGACGTAAGCCTCACACCAACTCTACACGTGAACATTTTACAATAATTAAGTGTGATCATGCACTTTTACTTCAAAGTAGGTAATCTGGAAACCATCTGAATACGAAGTCTAGCAAGAGCTTTGTTATTATATTCACTCCTTGTGGGATGCACATAAGAAATTTCATACGGTACTAATAAAACATTTCTCTCTGAAATTCTATAATTATAATACTTTTTCATAAGTGTAAGCAATAAGCACTCTCATCACTGAGCATTTACCTTTAGCTCGCTGAGAAATGTTTTAGCTTCCTGTAAGGCGCCTTTGATGTAGAAGGAAACCATTCCGCTGTAGCCCCTGCACTGACGCTTTCCTAGTTCATACTGAGGATGGGAGGGCAGGCCTAGTGCAACACAAAACATTACACAATATTTGTTTATTTATTTATTTATAGGGTTATTCCCAGGCCTTCAACGCATGTCGCATCGACACTCCTTCAAAGCTGAAGCTAATTTGTGACATCCCATAAATGCTTACAACATGCTTTATTTGCCTAAGCAACATGCCTGTCCAGGTGGGTTTTATTTTAGACAGTCCTAACAACTGATCGAGTTTATCTTTGTATTGGAGCCACCCGTGAGTGACATGTGTAATTGACTCCAGCTTTGTTAAACCCTTGAGATTCCTAGGGAGAACCCTACTAAATATAATAATTGTTGTAAAAATTATTTGTTGTTATTAAATTGTTGTAAATAAATCATGTAAATATTTGTGTTAATTGGAAAAAAAAGAGTTAAATGGATAAAAATACAGAAAACAGGAAAATAATTAAAAAACAGATGTGATTCGATCCAACGACCTTTCAGCCGTGACGCCAGTGCTCTACGCGTTCGGCTATTCGGGCTTATGCGAGGTAGGACTATATATATATATATATATTATAATGTTAATGAATTAGATAAACGTATGTAGTTTTAATACCTGGATGCATGACTTTCACAACTCTGGGGTTGGCTTCCAGATACTTGGCCACGGCTAGGCCATTCTTCATGTGTTGTTCCATGCGTACGGCCAGTGTCTTCACTCCCCTGTTCACTAGGTAGCAGTCAAATGGTGATGGCACGGCCCCAATCGCTGCAACACAAGATGCGTGCCAACGCGGCGCTGGTTTACTAGAGGTGGGACGATACGGGTAGCTCATGATTCTAACCGTATACTGACACTTCCCTCGAGATACGTATTGTGTTACTTTCAGGACCTATCTACCTACCTACCTAGCTATCAAACCATACACTGATCCGATATGCTACCAATCCTGTGAATGCTTACAAATCAGCGTGGTGGAGCACGTAGTAGACAACTGCTATGGAATTACAAATTGTGTTGTTGATTTGTTTTTTTATGAAACTACTTGACTAGATGATATGGATTTTAGTCAGTAGAGTATCGGCATGCATATCGTAAACGGTCCAACATATCGGTATGTGAATCCTCAAGGTTTGTATCGTGGTACATATATCGATGAATCGTCTCACCCCTATCGTTCACTAGCGTATAAACACATGCACACATGCAATAATGCATGAGTGTAGGCTCATGGACACACGAATGCATGGACACTCATACAGTCACTGATTGCAGTATTGTATTCGGCTGTTAAGAAGACAGTAAATGACCGAAAGAAGGCGGTATAGCCAACAGATGGCGCCACTTACAATTCTGCAGGAACACCAGACGCTCGTACAGCGATTCATCGTTCAAACAAACGGCTCCCATGATGACATCACTGTGACCTGTAGAAAGAAATCAAGAGACAGTATCTAAAATTTCCTGCTGTTAGTTCAAGTGGTGTGCCTGAAATCACATATAGCATATTGTCCATATTGCAAAAGTCCAAATCACTAATTGTAAAAGTTTGCCTATTTCTGTGGCCTATTAAGAGTTTTGAGAAACATCAAAAGTAGATATGACCTCGAAGGTTTAACATGTCACAACCTTTTAAGTAAAGTGTCATGCAAACGTTATGACATTTTAGAATTATGATTTGATAATTACGATTCATTCTATGATATTTGAGACAATTAGAAAAACTGTCCGTAATTTCCCTAATCATGAGAATCAATGCAAACAACTATTCTTATCTTATGCCTATTCACTGGCGAATGTGTACACATCATACACGTTTATGTGAACTTCCAAGCCATAATGTCAGCATAAAAGAGCATATATGAAGCTTTGTCAAAATTTAAAAAAAAATATTTGCCTGTGCTTCTGGATCCACACATACAGCTGGGATTATATTGCTGGGATTATCACACAGCTTATTGGGGCTATTTTAGTGCATCTCCTTTTAGGAAAACATTTGCCTTTGAACCCCATCCAAGTTGCTTTGGAGCCCCTCAAGAGTGGATTTGGAACCGATCCAGGTTGCTTTGGACCATCTGAGAGTTGCCTTGGAACCCATCCAAGTTGTTTTGGAGCCTCTAAAAGTTGCTTCGTAATCCCTCAGTCCATTTCCAATTAAACCCAATGCAAATATTTGCACGCAACACGTATGCGTGTACGACGGCCTCCAGACTTCGCGCTAACGCGTGAGGGCGACAGACAGACGTGCGGGCGAACCTCTCACCCACCCACCGTTCAGGTACTTGGACACGGAATGCAGCACGATGTCGGCGCCGAACATCAGGGGGCGCTGGAAGTAGGGCGTCATGAACGTGTTGTCGACGACGAGAATGACGCCGGGGTGGTCCTTCAGCAGGTTGGCCGTCTCGCGGATGTCGACCATCATCAGAGTCGGGTTCGTCGGCGTCTCGATCCACACCATCTATAGGGACAGACATTTTCCGTTTCAAAAAATTGCCTTTTCCGTTTGGGAAAATCATGAATTCCGTTTCAAAGTAAAGAAAAAATGGAAATTCCGTTTTGCCATAGAGATTGTACATACCAACAAGAGCCGCAGAGCATCTGGGCTCATCTGGAGTCTGTTGCTACGGTTATAAACGTAAAATTTCAGTTGTGCGTAATGACACATTTGTTAGGCGCAGATATTGCAGATACGCAGTTGCGTACACTGCATGTAGATTTTCTCTCTTTCTCAGATGCGTACGCCACTGTCCGGACGAGGCTGTGCGACTGATTGTCTATACAGATGTCTGATTATCTATCAGACTGATTGTCTGATGGTCTTCTAACCCTAGCAAGACCGTTTCGTTGAGCTAGCAAGGTGGTAACGTTTTATATAACTTCACACAAGTGCCACAGAGCAACACGCGCTCATCTAACGTCTACTGCGGTGACTCTTGGTGGAGTGGTGGGATCTAGTAAACCCTGTTAGTCCCAAATGTGTTCACATACACACCGAAACAGTGGAAGGCACAGGGATGGTATCGAGGAACTTCTCAAAGGAATGTTCATTGGGATCGTTATGAAAGTTGCCACGAGATTGGCGGTACGTTTAAGTGTCTTCAGATTAAAGATGGAAGCTCCCATCGTACGTAGTAGCACACGTATTTGTAAGACAGAATAGGTAAGCACTCATCCATTTACTATGCAAGAGCCTACAGGCTGAATAGAGAGCTGCCACCTGTAACTAATTAACGCAGGCAAAAACTACACAGCTACCACCACCACATGCACTGGCAGTGGCCACTGGCAGTGGCATACGTTACATGTAACACACTGACAGTACAGAAACGCCATAGAAATTATACGCATTTAAGGAGCATAAACCTTCTTCAACAAACTTAGCTTTGAAATTTCACTGTGGACACTGTAGGCCTCATACATCCAGGCATGTATAGATTCTACTAGCAAACCCGGCAGTCAAATTCTTTCTAACAGTAACAAATCCATGTTTAACCCTCCTCTTGAGAGTCAAAAAGTTATCTGACACTTACTCTTCGCATGTCAGCAGAAAGTAGATCTTCATGGTCCTTTCAATAAAGCCATAAAAATGGTAGGTCACTGCTGAAACAAAAAAGTTTTTCAATCGCTCCGTCAGACCATGTCCTCAGAAAATGTCTAAAATCTACCCTTGTGCCCATTGACCTTTGACCTCCAATTTCGGCACAGTGATGGCTTTCCTACCATGATACACCGACTATCACGAGCCTAGGTCGAGCCGTTTAGATTTGTTGCCGCAATTCTGCATTTTCTCCCTATACTTAAGTTAAGGAGGGAATGTTCCCCCTTCTTTTACACCTCTTGACCTTGTGACCCCAGCTTGACATCCCAACTCGTTTCGAATTCCCCCCCCCACATCCGACTTTCAAATCCGTACGTCAGCGTTTAGATTTGTGCCAACTGTTGACGGACGCACGGACGCACGGCACGAACGATCATAGCGATTCTACAAGCTGCATCTGACTATGTCAGATTAGCTAAAAATGCTAAATTACGTTTACATATATTTGCATGAGAAAAAAAAGGTATTTGGTACAACCTTTGAAACCGAAACACAGCTAAGGCTACCAAAAGTTGTAATTGTAAGTCATTTCGCTCTGAAACTTGTCTGAATGTAAACCATATCAATTACGGGTAATGCTATTGTCGACGGTTTTTTTGTGTGATTTCATTGAAATTTCCATGTTGTAATATGTTCAAATTACGTTTCCCGTTTGAAAACATCTTTTCACGTTTCCAATGGCCGTTTCCGTGTTTTTCGTCCGTTTTCCCGTACATCTACGCGCACAAAGTTATCGTTATCTACGCCGGAACTATTCGATATCGCCGAGCCTTCGACCCAGCCGCAATATATGGCCGATTCACGCGGCCGTCAAATAAAAGTGCATGTTGCCATCGGTTTTACGACAACTGTGTCGTTATCTCCGACCAACGAAACGTGGCGTAAACAGGCTTATTTGTGGCGCTAACATGGCCGTATTGGCGTTCCAAAAAGTGCCACTGCAGAAATATGTATCCGATGCGCGGGGGTCTCGGGGTACTCCCCCTTAAAAATTTTGAAATGTAGGAGCCTGGAAATGCATTTCCTGCATTTTCAGGCTATGTTGAAAGCAACCATTTCTGATCCTTTTAAAAGTCAATTGTAAATTTCAAAGAGGAATGTAGCTAAAGCTGATGTTTTACTAAAGTATCTAAAATATATATTATGAGTATGATAACTAAAAAACATTATTTACAAAATGTATATACTATCAGTACATAATTATGAAAATAAAGCTTATTTTCAATCTGCATTTATACTTTCACTATGTACATCTGTATGTTTGAAGTTTGAATTTGAATAGGGCACATTTGTCATATTAAATACACATTCCCAAATCTTAGCAGCACTGCATATAACACCTCTAATTGATCAGTATTAATAATATATACCAGACGTCCAGTCAGATAACAATTGTCATTTATTTTTTTATCATTCCAATTTTATCTTTTCTGTCTGATGGCCAACCTACAAATTTCTGAAATTACATCCTGTTTATCTACCTTATCTAACATGTCTCGGTGCACATGCATGACCATTGGCATTGTTGAGCCTTAACTTGTTCGTGCTGGGTCGGGGGGAGGCACTCCTTATATATTGCATGGTAGTATGTGCCGCAGAAGAGACCCCCATTTTCAACCCTAACCCAAACTTCCGTCTCTAGTGCATCGCATTTTTTTAATATCTCGTTCCAGAGCATTAAAGTGTCTACGTCACGAATTTCCTGAAATTTATAGTTGAAAACCTTATTTTTGTAATTTTTTTACATCAAAAGTTAGTACTAACGTTACTAAATATATCCTAAAGCTCTCACCTGATATAAATGTTTTTACGTTGGTTAAATTTGCAAAAATCTTGACGCATTTGAATTAGTGTTACCTACACTATTTACACAATACTGGGCACGGTCACTCCGTTGCTGCACTGGTTGCTGTGGTCGAATGTCATCGTGATTTGTGTATGGTGCACAAAGTGGAGCCCCAAACAGTTTCTGCTTTTGATTTGTGTTGGCTATATAGAATATACAATATTAGGAAAATAAATAATATATGTTCATGTGTATTATTGTTTGAAAAATTATTGATTAAAACTGCGAAATGTTATTGTGTTTTTTTAATTTCTCGCCAACAAAAGATGTTTGTGACATCCCCTTTCAGGATCGATCAGAAGCTAGGATAAACTAAACGATAAAAATGTGGGGCAGACCAGTGCATCGCGAAAGAAAACGAAAGAGAAAAAGCAGAAAGAAGATTATATGAGAAAACTCCCGCTTAAGTTTAGCAAGGAATTTTGCATGGCTGCCACAATAATTTTGCCAATGGCCTCGTTTACCGCAAATGTTCGCTATATCGGCTCGCTGCGTCTGGGCGCCACACAATAATTTTCGAATTCATGGCGGTTGTTGTTGAATGCGAACTTTTGGTTACATCGAATGCGCCGCGCAAATTAGGAAGTATAAAGAGGTATATGAGCATGAAAAGTAAATAGAAAACGCTAATTGTATTTTCATACATTTTTATTTGTACCAAATAACACCCACAAATATACTACTTGCTGGTGCTCGAAAATTCGTGACGTAGCAGTTTAAGTTTAGTTACCATGCAGATCTTACATTTTTGCCGTCCGGAGAACCCTAGTTTACTTATATTTCCCGTATCCAGATCGCATCGTTACTTCATAATACGTTGAAGTCGCGGGCCATCAAGCCATGAATGGCAACGTGCTGTGTGTTGTTAATGTGTGCGTGCGTGCTGTGCGATGCGTGCGCGTGAGACGTGCTTGCGTCGCGGTTCATCTCTCTACGGGTCATGTTTTTCTCTCTCTAAATAATACACAATTATTCGGTTTCAAGTGCTACAGCATGAGATTTTAAAGCAAATCACTGTATCCCCCACAGTTCCGGAGACCCTCTCTTAAACGTGTCCAGCTGTCATAGCATTAAATATTTCAGACAGAAATCCTTAGTTCCGGAGGACCCCATTTTTCGAAGCATGGCCATTCCATAGCATACCACATATCAAACAAACATTAGTTCCAAAGACCCCCATTTTCAGGTCCGAGTTAGTTCCAGAGCCCCCCCCCCCATTTTTGACTTCGCAGTGGCACATACCTACCATAATCTGGGGTGAGTGCCCCCCCCCCCCCGGTGTTTCATCTCCTTGGTATATGTTGCTCCTTGGTTCCCTGCAGAATTTTTTTTTCCAAAATAGTGCCACGGCAGTGACGTGCTGCCGTGGCGGCCACTACGGCTAATATTAAAAGAAACCGGTTTTTCGTGGTGGCCTTATTTTGGCAAGATTAAGACAAGTCATGTGTGTGTACGCTTACACCAAGATATTGGTAATGTTACGGCAACGCCAATGATTTAGCTGCCCACACAGTACTATGTGGGTGCACCAGCAGTGCAGATAAAAATATTCCATCTATGTAAGTACTGCGTAGTCATCATTCAGATGCAATATTTAGGGACAACAAAGATCATATAATGCTTTTGTGAGGCACACACAAACCTAGACAGGGCACCCAGTTTTACAATGTGGGTGCCCTGTAAAATAACAATGATAAAAGTTCATTTCAATCTCTGGAATCACAAAATAATTTTTTACATTATATTATCCAGGGGGCCGTTGTCAGAAACATCGTAAAGTTAATGCTAATGTTAATGCTAAGATAACACTTACGACTAGTCTAATGTTAAAGGGACAGTAGCCTCTAGGATTTTACTGCATACAACTGTACATACTGTATAACAAATCGTCTATACCCACACGTATTTGTTACCAGATACCTAATTTAATTGTTATAATTAATTACACATCAACGCTACGAAATTTGAATGGCGCCATGACACCCGCGACCGGGCTGCCACCCCGAAAAAGTTGCGTATTTGACCATTTATTTTGCACGTTACAGACCGAGGGCTAATCACAAAAGTGCAATTATATTTATACCTAAATGCTACTTAACCGAACGATATTCATTTTAGGGCAAATTTATCCATATTATAACTGAAACTATATGTCGTTTATAATATATTACAATTCTTTTGCTTTTAAATGAATAAATAAGAAACACCCTCGGTCTGTAGCCCTTGGCTGGAAAGTGGTTTTGCGCAACTTATCAGATCGTGCGCTTTGAGTGGCGCCACCGTCGTTGTAATCAAACTGTAGTCGTTAGTTTTAAACCATTTAAAAAAAATTTATAATGGAGATTGAACCATGAAACTTTTTATGTAACGTAACTATAACCTAAATTAGCTGAAAATAATTCTATAACCTAGAGTAAACTCTCCCTTTAATGTTACGAGAGGAGCGTTGACAGAAACAGATCGCAACTATTAGAAAACTTTCGATAACAGGAACTTCATCACAAGGCTGCTGATTGGATGAGAATCAATCACAAAATTCAAATTCATACACATTTATTGTACATCACAGTAATATATGCATACTATGATGGCTAACCACATATAAATAATATTTGATGAAAAACAACGCGGTCATGAATTTATTCTGCACAACAAGACAAATTCTCACACTGTAACACGAGACGCGAGAGTCGTGGCCAGTGGCAAACAACATTAAAACAAGAGAACAAATGCCATACACCATTTGTAAATGTTTTGTTTTGTTTTATGATCGGTAGATAATGAATGTTTTTGACGTTTTTAAAGAAAAACACACACTTTACTCATTATTATTAAATATAATATCACTATAATTGTAATTCGTATAGTGTAAATGTGTTATTTTCATCTTAATATTAAAGTTACGAGAGGGTCTGGGCTCTCGTAATGTTAAGAGGATATTTTCGAGGATTTTTCGTTCTCGTAACATTACGATGTTTCTGTCAACGGTTTATGAGTGGAAGTTAATGTTAAGACTAATTTTGTTTCTGACAACAGGACCCAGGAACGTTGACAGAAAATAACCCTCCAAATAAGCCATCACCTAGTCCCATTACTTGGATCGCCGCTAAAAATTATTACCAACAAGTTCCGCAACAGCGACAGTGCTCATCTGCTGCTCTACTGTACTGGCTTTCGTTTCTGCAAAAGGTTGAAAGCCTGTTCTATCGCTAAACCGGCTACGTCATCATGCTAAATTACGTTTACACTATATATTTCAGCAGTGGGAAAAAAAGGTATTTGGTACAACCTTCTAAACGCGGAAAAGCAGCTAAGGCTACCAAAAGTTGTAAGTTGTAAGTCATTTCGCTCTGAAATTGTCCTGATTGTAAACCTATATCATTACGGGCACATGCTATGTCGGACGCTTTTTTTTGTGTGATTTCATTGAAATTCCACTGTTGTAATACTGTCAAATAACGTTTCCCGTTGAAAACATCTTTTTACGGTTTCCAATGGCCGTTTCCTGTGCTTTTTCGTCCGCCGTTTTCCCGGTAATCATCTTATCGCGCACAAAGTTATCGGTTATCTACGGCCGGAACTATAGATAGTCTCTGCCGACAGAAGCCTTCGCACCAGAGCGGCCGAATATATGGCCGTTCACGCGGCCGTCCAAATAAAAGGTGCATGTTTGCCTCGGTTTTACGACAACTGTGTCGTTATCTCGCGACCAACTCGAAACGTGGGCGTCAAACAGCTCTGAGTTTGTGGGCGTAACATGGCGTATTTGGCGTTCCACAAAGTCACTGCACGAAATATGTATCCGATGCGGGGGTCTGGGGTACTCCCCTTAAAAAGTGTTTTGAAGATGGTAGAGCCTGGAAATGGCATTCTGCCTGCATTTTCAGCGCTATGTTGAAAGCAACGGCAATTCTGATCCTTTTAAAGTCATTTGTAAATTTCAAAGAGGAGATGTAGCTAAGCTGATGTTTTTCTAAAGTATCTAAAATATATATTGACTGAGTATGAATAACTAATAAACACGATTATTTACAAAATGTATATACTACAGTACATAATTATGAGAAAATAAGCTTATTTCATCTGCATTATACTTTCACTCTCGTACATCTGTATGTTTTCGAAGTTCTGAATTTTGAAATAGGCACATTGTCGATTACTTAAATACACTTCCCAGGTCTTAGCAGCACTGATATAAACCCAATTGATCAGTATTAATTAATCACATACCAGACGTCCAGTCAGATATACAATTGTCCTTTATCTTATCATTACCAATTTTCATCTTTTCTGTCTGATGGCTAACCTACAAATTTCTGAAATTACATCCTTTTTTATTACCTCTATTAACTCGTCTCGGTGCACTGCATGACCATGTGCATTTGTTGAGCTTAAACTTGGTTCGTGCTTGGGTCGGTGGGGAGGCACTCCTTATATATTGGCCTGGAAGGTATTGTGCCGCCCACGTAAAGAGACCCCCATTTAACCCTAACCCAAACTTCCGTTCAGGTGCATCGCATTTTTTTAATATTCGTCGTTCCAGAGCATTTAAGAGTGTCGTACGTCACGACATTGTCCTGGAATTTATAGCTTGAAGGAACCTTATTTTTGTAATTTTTGCACCTTCAAAGTTTATGTACTAACGTTATGAAATATATCCTAAAGCTCTCGACTGATATAAATGTTTTTACGTTGGGTTAAATGTCTGCAAACAATCCTTGAGCGATTTGAATGTAGTGTTAGCCTAACCTATTTATCACAATACTGGCGTCACTGGGGATTGACGGTGTTCCGTTGCTGCCTGGGTTGCTGGTGGTCGTAATGTCATCTGTCGATTTGTGTATGGTGGCACAAAGTGGAGCCCCAAACCAGTTTTCTGTTGTGATTTGTGTTGGCTATATAGAAATACAATTAGGGAGATACAAAGAAATAATATATGTTCATGTGTATTGGTGTTACTGAAAAATTATTAATTAATAACTGCGAAATGTTCATTTGTGTTTTTTTAATTTTCCGCGCAACAAACATGTTTGTGACATCGCCCTTTCAGGATCGATCAGGCTATGATATAACTAAACGATAAACAATGTGGGGAGACCAGTGCATCCGGAAAGAAAACGAAAGAGAAAAGAAGCAGAAAGAAGATTAATGAGAAACTCCCGCTTAAGTTTTAGCAAGGAACTTTGTCATGCTCGCACGAATAATTTTGCCAATGGCCTCGTCTTACAGCAAATGTTCGCTATATCGGCTCGCTGCGTCTGGCGCGCCACAACAATATTTTCGAATTCATTTGGGGTTGTTGTGAAGCTGGAACTTTTGGTTACATCGAATGCGCCGGCAAATTAGGCAAGTACTAAGGCAGAGTATATGAGCATGGAAAAGTAAATCAGAAAACGCTAATTGTATTTTCATACATTTTTATTTGTCCAAATAACACTCACAATATTACTACTTGCTGGTGCTCGAAATTCGTCGAGCGCCATAGACAGTTTAAGTTTAGTTACCATGCAGATCTACATTTTTGCCGTCCGGAGAACCCTAGTTTCTTAATATTTCCCGTTCCAGATCGCATCGTACTTCATAATACGCTTGAAGTCCGGGCCATCAAGGCATGAATGCAACGTGTGTGTTGTTGCTAATGTGTGCGTGCGTGCGTGCGTGCGTGCGCGTGCGTGTGCGGTCGCGGTTCATCTCGTCTCACGTGGTCATGTTTTTCGTCTCTCTAAATAATACAAATTATTCGTTCAAAGTGCTACAGGCATAGATTTTAAAGCCAAATCACTGTTCCCCCCACGAGTTCCGGAACCCTCTCTTAAACGTGTCCAGTGTCATAGCATTAAATTTCAGGAGCGAGAAATCCTAGTTCGGAGACCGCATTTTCGAAGCCATGGCCAGTTCAGATCAATAACCTGACATTTCACAAGACGTTAAGGTCGAGCCGTTTAGATTTGTGCCGCAATTCTGCATTTCCTCCCTATACCTTAAGTTAAGGAGGGAATGTTCCCCCTTCTTTTACACCTCTTAACCTTTGACCTTTGACCCCCAGCTTCGACATCCCAACTCGTTTTCGGATTACCCCCCACGACCCGAATATCGTGACTGTACGTCGAGCGGTTAAGATTTGTGCCCAACTGTTGACGCACGCACGGACGCACGCACGGACGATCGTGCGATTCTACAAGCTGCATCTGACTATGTCAGATGAGCTAAAAATATTATCAGTGCATTGCTAGACTTCTGCATCGCTGATCATGAGAAAGTATCATTGCAAACTCAGTAGTTATCACCTAGACTACTTGAATCGTTACAAATAACATCGGTGAGCTTATCGCATGCGCGTACGTCACCATTGACTGACCTTTGTGTTCGGCTTGATGGCCTTCACAACGTTCGTGGGGCAGGTGGAGGCATCGACAAAGCTCACGCTGATACCGTTATGCACTGCTACACGCTGGAAGTAGCGGTTCGTTCCTGCAAACACCGATAGATATTGAACACCAGGAGCTGCAAACACATCGGAACGGAGGCATTTACTTATGACTCCTGTCAAAGTGTAAAAGACGCGAGGGGATAGGATTAGAGGACGTAGCTTCGAGGGACAATGTATGGGCACTCTGCCTTTAAAAATATTTTGCTTTGCCCATACCAGACCCTGTTTCTCAAACTCGGGCAGGTGGGTATATATATATGTAGGCCGAATGGTTTCTGGATACATAACAAATTTTAGTAGTTTAGTAGTTTAGTGAGAACATTACAAGTCTTAAAAAAGATGTATCAAATACAGCTTTATAGCATTGCCACATTTTATTGCATTAACGTGATATATGTTTTTTTTCAAGAGTCCCCAAATGACCTTCTAATAGGACTTTTGTTTAATTGTAGACCTAAGGTGTTTGCTCTCTGTCCAGACAGGCAGACCTTACTAGTCTGTAGCATGCTACAGCAGCTTTCAATCACGGCTAGACCCTAACCTTCCACAGTAATGAAAACGAAAAATATTATTGTTGAAAACAAGTACACACACATATATATATATATATATATATATATGTCATTTTTGGTGGGTCGGTCAGGTAACTTAGAGCAAACAGTTTTTTTTAACATTTTTATCGAAAACATGAAAATCTTTTCGAGATATGGAATTTTTAAACGTACAGATTTAAGTCAGGATGACCAGGGCAACCAACTCCTTTTAACTGTCACCTTTACTAAGCTTCCGTGAGGGTGGTGCCTAAATTACTTTTCCATCATATCAGTAATGCCCAGTACTGTTAAAACACACGCTGACTATAGGCGACAAAGAAACTGCTGACAAGTAGTAAGTACACACCAAAATCAATTTTCCAAAGTAATTACT